TATTTGAGTCAAGTACAAACAGAGGCAGGTTACATCCGCCAAACTTGTCTTTACACGTACGTGTTATCAGTACATCAGAAGCAGTTTTGTAAGGTAGAATGCTGGTTCCTCCTCCTGTACTGTCATTTTCTGCTTTTGATCTGCTTGTGTGTCTGTTGATTTGTTTACTTTTGTTTTATATCATATTCAAGAAGAAAAAAGGGTTTTTTTAATTTATTTGACAAAATATACATAATATTTATTTTTAGCCATTCTTAAGTGTACAGTACTAAGGCATTAAATACATTCACAATATTGTGTAACCATTACATCTATACTCAGAACTTTTTCACCATTGCCAACGAAACTCTGGACCAATTAAATGATAACTGCTTTCTTCCTCACCTCCAGCTCCTGGTGGCCTCCCTTCTATTTCTGTCCCTATGAATTTGCCTTTTCTAAGTAGCTCACATAAGCAGAATCATACAATATCTGTTCTTCTGTATGTGTGGCTTATTTAACTAAGAATGTTTTCAAGGTGCATCCATGTTGTAACATGCATTGGAATTCCACTCCTTTTTCAGGCTGACTAATATTTCATTGTATGTGTGCACCACTTTTTGTTTATCCAGTCATCTGTTGCTGGATACCTTTGGCCATTGTAAACAATGCCGCCATGAATGTAGGGGTACAAGTATGTGTTCTAGTCTGTGCTTTTGATTGTTTTGGATATACATCTAGGAGTTGAATTACTGGGTCACATGGTAGTTCTGTGTTTAAAAGATAGGTTGTTTTTTCCTCTAATGCTAACTTTCAGGGCAACACCAAGCAAAGCCAGTTCCTTGTTCTCTGAATATCTTTTAAGCATTTGAAAATAGCTACTTTGTCCTCTGTGAGTCTTCTTGTCTAAACTAAAAGTTCCAACTGATGCAACTTTTTTTTAGAACCCAAAGGTAAGATCTTACATCAATCCTGGCTACATTTCACTTATTACTTCACTCAGTTAGTTCACCTCCACATCTGTGGGGATATCCAGATATTTATTATGGGATCCAGTACATTAGTCAGCTCTCCCAAGTTCCCGTCTTCCTTCCTTTGAAATACACTAAGAGAGTATTTAAGAATAATAAAAGCAGAAGTCGTCTTTATCTTGCAGTTGATGAATAATGAGAAAGAGGATACTGAAGATAAAAATGTAGCTCCATTTGGAATATTAAACTTTCATTTTGTTTTGTATTTTGGGAAAAAGTATTTCCTGTTTTTAGAGTGTGTTAGAACATCCTTGCACATAGTGGAGATTCAGTAAAGACTCAGTATAAAAATGAAGAATTGAAACATTGGCCTTTCTCCTTCAGATGTTTTTATTGAGATCAGACCTGTGTTATTTTTAATGGCACTTGTGATGATTGTGGGGCTGTTCTTGTCTCTAAAGCTTCAACATCAGTTATTTCCATTGCTGAAAGTCTGCTCAGTGTTGATCTGTGTTATATTTGTGTCGAGTTTCTTACAATAGTTAAGGAAGAAAACATGATATTCTACCTATGAGCTACTGTGTGTTTATAAACTGCCCAGCTATCAAAGTTCAAATAAGAATATTCGTGTAAAACAACTTCTGTCCCTAAAACCCTTGCATGAAAATTCCTTTTCTTAAATATCTTCCTAGGTTCTTCCTCCAAAACAGTTGTCCGGTTATTTTGGCATTTGCATGGGTGGTTCATGAATCTTACAGAATGCCTGTGCCTTGAATTGACCAAAAAGAGTTTAAGTAAAAGGGTAGAGCTCCTGGTTGAGTGTTTCTTATACATGTATTGAAAGAGAAAGTAAACTTATAGGGAAATTTCTTACTGATTTGTTTGTTTATTTGTTTCCTGGGGAAAATTTCAAGCTTACTAAAGAGTTAGTCTGTACACTCTATTCAGGTTGTGGTTGCTCTTATTTCTGAAAGGATTACATTTCAATTACTTTTCTTCTCTCTTCTCTCTTTTTTGGGAGGATCTTCAAACTTACTTTTACATGTCTAAAATATTTTTTAAAACTTTAACAGAATAGGATGTGTTTCTGGTTTTTAAGGGGTGGCAGCATTTAAATACCTCATGCAGCAAATTGATGTATCACTTAATATCACCACCTTGCCAGTGGGTACGTTTGCAGTGCTGTGACCAGCTGGAAAAAAGAAGAAACAGTGCTTAAGGGAGAAACATTTCAGTTGTTCAAATAAGTAACTCTTGATTGAGCATCATAAAGAACCAACACTGATTTGGGATAAGATCAGTCATCCTCTGCTCATTTTCAGTAGAAGGACTGTGATAAAAGTGACTAAGTGACCCTCCCAGGTTGCTAACAGAATTTAACTTTAATGTCCCATTTTACGTATCCTCAAAGAACTAAATCACTGCTGGAATTTCAATCAAATCCCGACCTTTCTTTCCTCATATGACAGCCTACTGATTCCTATATGTAACGCAGAGACACACACAAACCCACGAATAGGACACGCCTATTTTATTGGTGGAAATGAAAGGCAGAATATTAAGTATTTTGCCCTGTGCCTCTCTCCTCTCTCCCTCTCTTTCTCATCCCCACGAACCCGCAGTTGCTACTATTCTCAACTCTAAAATCAGCCCCCCAAATAAGAAACAAATATAATGTGAAATGGTCATTATCTTACTCATTTTCCTGATTGTAAATAACTGACAGCACTGTTGATCAATTCCCTGTAGCTTGCAGATTGACTGCCTTTGCTCAGTATCACCCCCTAAATTACAGTTAAAATACTATTTCCTCTGAAAGAACTGCAGTAACTTTTCCTTTGTGCATTTTTATAGAGTCTCCTCTTTCCCCCTGGCCCTACCCCTCCAACTCTAACAATTGACACTCGGCCAGAATATCTATTAACCAATTGTTGGATAAAATATATTTGTGGAGAATAGTTTTACTGCTTTGTGGAACATGGGAGAAATTGGAACAAAGGAAGATTATATGGCAGTGGGAGAGTCAGTTTCGTTTGGGGAGCAGAAAGCTGGAGTCCAGTTGATTTCCTGGCACTGCTTTCTCAGCAAAGAGAACAATTTTAATCAGTTACAAAAATATTTGTGATCCATATGTTCCTCTCTGCTCATTCCCATATGCCCATATTCTCTTTTATCTTGGTGGATGATGACTTTATGATTCAGGCATGCAAGAATAATACTTTGCTCGCTTTAGAGCTCAGTGCTATTTCAAAACGTGTCCTGGTAATTACGCACACACATAGATCCAGGCTGTTCGCGCTTTGAGATGGTTACGTGAATACCAGTTTGCTCTTTCTCTTTCTTCGTGGAAAGAATTATATCTTGCATCCACCTACTGGGGCTGGAATAAGGCATCTGAGGCTCAGATTTGAAAACAGCATTGCCCTGCACCTGCTGGGGTAGCTGCCACTGTGCAAACATGAGCTTCAGGAAGAGGAGACAGAAAGGCTGCGGTGATCGTTGATAACTTCATTTTCTTTGGGAAAAGGAACACAGAATCCAAAAAGCGTTTGGTAATTCCTTCCATCACTGGCGCCTGTTCTAAGGCATATTAGATAATGGACTAGCTACTTAAATAAATCCTAATTTGAAGGCATAATGACTTCTTCTTAATATCGCGTGTTAGTCATAGTAGCCATGGTGAAAGAGGTCAAAACTAAAAAAATTCATGTTACCGTTGATTAGAAATGCCATTTTGGTCCAAAATTCATTATTGCTTCTCTCTCAATAGTTATATAATGTTTAACAACAAAAGATATGCATTCTACAGCCAAATTGTCCTAAAATTTTAATAAGACAAGAATAAAGCTAGAAATTGTTGACTATGTAAGTGATTGAGTTTTCAACAGTTGTTTTCGTCTTACACAGCAAATGGTGTTGTAACCCAATATGCTGTTAATCTAGCCGCAGTCAAATCCGACGAGGAGCCAACTGTGTTCATTGAAACCTGGGAGGGGGCAGCAAGGGGGAGGCAGGGAGGGTTTCTAAACTTCAGACGAAATAACTGAGATGCATTTAGTGTTTTCAAAGCTGAGTACATGGTGGAATGGGTGCGAGTGGTGTTGGATACAGCAGGTGGGCACCAGAGTAGAGTTGCAGCGAAGAGAGAGAGATACAGCTTGGTTTTGGCAAATGTTATTAGGAATCCGTCTCTTTGTTTGCATTCAAGCTGTCTTTGCCGCTGCTCCTGTAGGAGTTGTGAGAAAAAGAAAGTGCACGTTATAGCATGGATTGTTTTCAACAGGCTCAAAGTTTGCAAATCTGTTGAATCCCTCTGACAGCGTTTCTTTGCTGTCAAACAGAATGCCCAGCTGGCGGTGGCATTCCTAATGGGAAGGGAGGGGACGTAGGGACTGCGTTCACCCAGCAACGAGAATATTAGGAATTCTTCTTGCCAAATGGTAAATGGAGGAAAAAAGCGCTCTCTCAGCAATGCCATTGTCAAAGTTTTTCCTTTTTTTTCTTTCTTTCTTTTTCTCTTTGTATTGTTTTCACTTTTATAGATAAAGCCTCATTAAATCAAAACCTTTAGATATGCTTTATTAGGATAATTTTCATAAAGAACAGCGTCACGGAACCAGCATCAAAGTGTATCGTATCGATCTATAATTAAGACAAAGGCTTTGGTTAGAAAAGGAGGCAAGACTTTTGCTCATAGGTGATCTTGATTCTCATGGAGGCAAACACACAAGCTTGTGTTTTTTCTTTTTTTTTAATATAAAGTGCGAGGTTTCACTAAAAAAGGTTAAAATTGAAGTGAGTAATCTTCGGTGCATAATGCAATTGTTAATTTTAGCTCCTTGCGTGGGTGCCGCTCCGACTTGAACAGCCGGCTGGAGCCTTCATTAGAGAAGAAGCCGGCAGCTTGAGACAGGTGGAGCTGCATCAGGCTGTGAACGTGATTTGCGGGAAACTGGTCATTAGTGTTAGCAACCCGGTTCTTATTTATTCCGTCCTTCGCCCGACCACAATGATTGCCATGATGATTATTGACTGTTCATCTTTTTTCAGGTTGACGATGTGTCAGGCTGTGTAGGGGAGTCGCATGGAGATGGGCATCCCGAACTGTTGACGGGGACATGGGACTCCAGTTACCTCTGGTCCCTTGTGTGGATTTCCCCGGTGCAGAAGGACAGAAGCCACTAGTCAGTCGCCAGGACCTACAGCAGGAATTCAGCGCAAAAGGTAAAGGTCTTGTCATCAGATGGCTGTCACCTCATCTGTGTATTTTTTTTTTTGATCATTCTATAAATGTGCCATCGAACTGTTCATCAAAGGCAGCCCAAAGAGACAGGATCTGGAGTAGGGATTCAACTGGCTAATAGTTTGTAAAATTGAGAACTCAGTGTGTTCATTTCATTTTTAAATCTGGCCACGATTTGTTTTTATTGAAATGCTCTGGAAAAAAAAAAAAAAGCTAGGGCAACAGAAGTCCCATCTCCTCCCCCTACTCAGCACATTGAGAAACAAGCTGTTTGCCCCCCTGGGAAAGAGAACTTTCTGTGTGGTTAACTACACTGGTCCCCGGTGTCACTGCAGTGAATACACCAAATGGAACATCCTCAAACCTCCCCAAGCCTAAGACCCTTGCTCACTAGTCCCCTGCAGATTCAAACCACCCTCCTTGAGGAAAACTTGGCCTTTTACATTCCCACAATCCTTTGCCAAGTGAGCCTGTGTTGTTCTTAATGGTATCATTAGCTACCATCTGTCCTGTCATGGTCAGTCTTAGCAGATTTGCAACAGAAATTACTGAGTTTTAGATTTTTCTCATGCTTCCTAGGTCCAGTTGGAAATAAAGTTACTGAATGAGTAACTGGTAATTAAACACTCCCAGCGAAACATATCAAGATGCTGATTTGTCCAATAATAATTACCACTGTAATGACTGGGAACCAGACAGTCATTCTTTGGGAATTTTTGCAAAAGAACTGACTTTCTCGGATACAGCATCTCTTTTTCTTTTTTCTTTTTCCCTTCCTTCCTTCCTCCTTTCCTTTTTCTCCTTCTTCCTTTTTTTTTTCCTTAAAAAAAATGAAGAGGAAGTAGATGCTAAATTATTCATGAGCCTCGTTTGACAGCACATCAGAAGGGGAATTGTCAGGGGTTTTATGCAGGTAGGGAGAAAAAATAATACCAACCTCACACTTTCAAGAGCCATTTCCAGTCTCCGTGTAGTCGTCTCTTGTGAGCCTAGTGTATCGGAGCTGAGTTACAATATCTTCATTAGAGCCACTGGCCAGAGACCTCCTTCCGCAGAATCTGTGAAACACCAGCAACCCACAGGGGCTTGAGAGACAGCTTCTGCTTTTAATCATGCAGCTGCCAGTTTGAAGCCTGAAACTGTTGTCCCTGAAAGGTTTATTGCCAAATTTAGATCCTATATTCATACTGAATTATTACGTCTTAAATCGATTTCTGCACCTTGTAGAGTGTCCCAGACCCCTTATTCCCAGGGAAGTATGTCCGTGGCTAAAACTTGCACCTCATGTTTGGGTCATCTCAGAGGTGGTTCAGATCTCCAGCACCACCTCCTGACTCAGAGGCGGGGGGTCATCTGTTCAGGAGTTGGGGAAATACTCTGTTTTTCTTTCTCTCCTACTCTGCAGTGGGGCGTAGGGACTGGGAGATGTGTGGGACTTCTGTGTCTCTATTTAAGATGCTTTGAGCCACTTTGATGGCAAGGTGATTTCACAAGTATGTGTGCATGTGTGTGGAGGGGCGTGGCTAGGATGTTGGAATCTGCCTCTTGGGTTTGCCTCGGGTACTTGATTTGATCTTGTTTGATTCTCCTTTTGTACACAACCGGCCAGGAGGCTGGAGTTGCTCATTTGTTTCTGAGTACAAAGGGAGACATCGAATACCTGAAGAATAATGGTAAATACTTCACCCTGCACTGACTTTATTTTTTGACATCTTAACCTTGTAGGGCGTCAAACGTTGTTACTTTAATTTGCATCTGGGAGGATGTCTGAGCCAGGAGACCTGAGTCAGGCCATAGTGGAGGAAGGCGGGCCTGGGCAGGATGCGGCCACTCCGGAGAATGGCGTGGTTAAGTCCGAAAGTCTGGATGAAGAGGAGAAACTGGAACTACAGGTGAGCCCAGAGAAACCCCATTTCTCATAGCACTGTGTGCAGCCCTTTCTTTCATTTGTAGGATACTTTGAAGGTTGGTCAGTTGGTTGGCTTTTTATAGTTTGACCAGTAAAATGAATGGGAAATCCATAAAACAAATCCTGGCTCTTCCCAATAGTCACTTTTTTTTTTTTTTGGACCACACGGTGCATTCTGACCAAAATGCCTTTTGAAACGGGAAAAAAAATCTCAAGAAGATATTTAATGACTAAATTTGCTCACAGCAGCTCCATATTTAACTTCCAGGTCACCTCGAAGAGCTGTGGAGGGCTGCTTCTCCCGAGGCAGCTTTACACTAGCTGAGTTTTATTTTTATCTTTTGAACTTACTCATTTTTATTATGATTGTTGTTACTGCTTTTAATGGAGGTACTGGGGATTGAACCCAGGACCTAGTGCATGCTGAGCATGTGCTGTGCCCCTGAGCTCTACCCCAACACTAGCTGATTTTTAAAAATGAGCTTGTGTTCCATGGAATGATGACGGCCAGCTCATGACAGACAAAGAAAAATTGTCTTTCACCTTCCTGGGCAGGCTAAGCTTTAACTCTTAGCAGAGAAGCCTAGAATTCCCAGCCAGAGAGAGATAGAGAGAGAGAGGGAAAGAGAGAGGGAGGGAGGAAGGGAGGGAGAGAGTTCTAGAAGGGGCAGGGAGGAGACTGGGAAGGATTGACGATACTGAAAAAATGATATAATTACATACTCATGATTTACGGGAGAAGGAGATGTGGTAGAAGGCAAACAAACTGTCCTTGCAAATAGCTTATATCGATTTCCTTTGAACCAAATTGAGAAAGTGTTAACTCTTTTTATATAAAAAGTGAGCAAAGGCAGACAACCACATATTGGCCAAAAGCCTTCAAGGCTGGCTTTTGCCCCCTCCAGGAGCCGCTGTAAGGAGAGCACACTAAAAGCTAAATGGTCAGAAGCGTGGGGGGCGAGGGCAGGGGCGTCCCCCGGGCGGTTCTAATGCCTTGTTGCTATTACTACTGATTTCTCAGCTCCACTGACACCTTTTTCTCTCACTCTCTCCCCGCTCCCCTCTCCTGGTTGTTGGTTTACTGTTTGTTTGCTTGATTTTGTTTCTAACGTACAGAAGCGCCTGGCAGCTCAGAACCAAGAGAGAAGAAAATCCAAGGTAGGGTTCTGGACTCTCCGCCCTGACTCGCTGTCCTGGATGTCAGTTGCGTATTTCACGTCGGGGTCAGAGGACCGGCCAGCACAACTCAGACGCTTGTGCGTGCGTCCTGCCTGCGCTGGTGCTGACTGCGTTCAGTGGGCGTCCTGTTGATAGCTCTCTTTCTTTCTCGCTCTGTATGCTTCTTAGAGCATTTCTGGTTCACAGAGTATATATTTGATCCTGTTTTCACACTGGCAGATTTGATGGTGCTTTTCAAATGAATAGCCACTTGTTTTCTTTTCATTGAACATAAAGTTTGGGGGAAGTGTTTTAGTCTCCCCAGTTGGTTTCTGCCTTGAAGTAATCAGGTTCTGGGCTCTACGACCCAATCTTCAGGTTTTAGGACATCTTTTCAGTCCAAATAGCTCGCAAACTCAGTTTTAGTGGAAATTCATTTTTTGTCATCTTTTTCTCCTTATGTTTTCATAAAACAGCCATAGTGCATTCTTTGTATGTTTCCGGTGTGATGGGCACAGTTTGCTAAGAGTGTTCCTTAAATTCACCCTTTCGCATTCTCCTCCGCTTGCCTCCCCATGAATGCAGGGGTCTGATGCTTTGAGCCAAGGAAGACATTGCATCCCTATGAACACAGGGATGTGATGCTTCAAGCCAGTGTAGACAGCACTGAGCAGAGGATTTGAAGCTTGCTTGCTTTAAAAAAAATCTCATTTGGGAAGGTCGGGAGAAAGTGGAGATGATTTGACAGCCTGAGGCTATTTCCTGTTGGTTTTCTTTATTTTCCTTTCCTTCCTGTTTCTTTCCCCTTCCCAGTCAGGAGCAGGAAAAGGTAAACTGACTCGCAGCCTTGCTGTCTGTGAAGAATCCTCAGCCAGACCAGGAGGTGAAAATCTCCAGGATCAGGTATGTATACCCCCGTCATGATCCATCACTGCATGCACGGGATCCACCTTGTCTGCATGAGTATGAATTTGGCTTTAAATAGTGTTTTGGGGGAGCCAAAAAAAAAAAAACCAAACAGTTGAAGAAGGAAAACGTTTTCTGGCTTCATCCCCTGTCTATGAGGCATTCTAAATTAGTGGAACAGTCTGTCACAAAGTATCACCTTTGTTTTTTTTCCAGACCCTCTGAAAACTGCAAATGGAAAGGAATTCAAAAGAATTTAGATTAAAACTTAAAATGTAAGCACGGTAGTGCTGATTCTCCTCAAAGGCTCTCTCTTGATAAGACTGAACCAAATACAGTCCTAAATATCCCATCTCCTTCCGTACTGGAGATCCTTACCTCTCACCTCCCCAAAATGCACTTGCCTATAAGAAACACGACTCTCGGGCTCTTGTGAAATTTCAGAAATCAGTGAATAAGGTGCATTGAGCTTTGGAGATACACTATTATGGCCTTTGGTGGAGATTTCTCAACTGGAAAAATTGTCCAGAAATAAATCTGAGATGATGGTGAATTTAACTTACTATTATTAATATATTGCTGCATATACTTACACATAGTTTTGCTCCTTACAGCAAGACTATTAAGCTCTAAAAATTCAGATTCCAAGAAAACCGTTCTGTGATGAAACAGGAAACCTCACATATTTATTTTTGTTTGCCTTCTAGGCATCGTATTAGCTTTTATAAAAATGGTCTTGCTGCTGGAATTTTTCCTTATTTTCTCAGAGGCTGAGAGCAGTCAAGACAAAAGTAAAATGATTTATCTGAGCCCAGAGGAGGAAAAATTGATTAAGATGGCATTATTTTTGTTGGGCCTTCTTTTGCTTTTTTTCTCCTTACTTTAATTAAAAGACTAAATTCTCCTTGTGGAAACAGAGAGCAGTGAGAGCACTTTCTTTAAAAGGACCAAAAATAAATTCCTCATAGACTTTGTCCTAGGAGTATTTTTTTCCCCAGCCTCATTTCCTTAACACGCCACCCATGTCGTCAGGCGTGGACAGGCTAGCTTTCAGTAGCCGTCACTATGTTTCATACACAAGCTTTACTTCACTTGGGCTCTGAGAGACGTGTGGCTTTTGTCGAGCATTTTATGTGTGCTTCTGTTTTCAGTGGAGATTGAAAAGGGGGGAATAATATGAAATTGCAGCTTATGTTCTTCCACGTTGAGTGATGGCTCATAACGTACTGCACACGATACATGTTAACTCTGCAGGATGACAGACTCTGGGAGAAGTCATGCCCCCATTGTCCCCCACTCCTAATGCTAGGCAGAGGAGGACAGCTTTTAGAGACTTAATCTGCTTTTTATCCCATTTGACAAGGTCAGGAGGAAAGTTTTTAAGAACTCATCTGTATCATAGTGCCCGTCCTGGACCTAAGTCTAGCTGCTCCATACAATTGCTGCAGAGAAATACGAGGCAAACGGGGCTTTGTTCTGCAGGTTCCAAGCTGAGTAACCAAGACTAGCTTTGTAGGAGAGAATTAGAGCTTGCAACCCTCTCTTTGGACTGGCTGAGGAGTGGTGGGAGCAGGGGGCTGACAGAAAATACCCAGACACACATAAGCAAGTAGCCGTGTTACTTTTTTAGAGAATAACGCAGCAGACCTTTGGGCTTGTAAGCAATCCCTTCTTTAGGTACCACTGGCACTTCCAAATGTGGGAACTGAATCCCAGGGAACACTGGCAGAAGTATACAGTATACGGATTGTACTGCTTCCCCAATGTTTGTATATTCACAGTATTTGGAAAACTGCCTTCATTTTCCTGCGTGGGAAAAACTCTTGCTACCTGTATTACTTGATCTCAGACCCATAGCTGATGGTTTAGTCTGTCCTTAAGTTAAAGGAATTTTGCTTTTCTAATGTTATACTATTTACCTATCAGTGTATTACTGCAACTTGAATCATTCTTTTACTGTTGTTGGATATAAACTTATCCTGTACCAATGTATTTATTAACACTTGTATTTTATTATTGAGCATATCAATAAAAATATTAAAAAATCACAGATTGCTTTTTACCAACTCTATAGCACTTTTGTGTGTTCTTTCAACACCATAATGTGTAGAAAAGACAGGTATTTTTCTGACTATAGCATCTGTCAACACATGGTGTGAGTTTGTACTTTTTTCTTTGTGGTAAATGATGTCCATTAGTCTCTGCTCTTGCATTTGTATTTCCAAACCTCTTTGATTTTAGATTCAAATTTACAGAGGCTGGATGGTTCAGTCGGTTTTGAAGAAGCAATGAGACCCCCATGGCTTGGTACCCTCAGTCTCCCCTCCTGATCACCTGGCAAATTAATTCTTCTTCACCCTCAGCCAGAAATGGTCCAGCTGTTTCCTTAGCAAGTGGACGCAAATCATAACCCTAAAGTCTGCCTGAATCTTTGCAGACTAAGACATTTCTGTCCCAAGTCATGTGATAAAAGGCCCTATAATCAAGTTACACTCAGTTTTACATGTTTTGCATTCGTCCACCCCCACGATAAACGTGTGGATATCAGGACCAGTTAATATAAATATTTAGTGTGAGGCTGTGTTTTATTTCATCCTCTATATCATGCGTCTTTCCCACCGTGGTGACTTTGTATTTCCAGCCCAAAATACAAAGGGAGTCCCTCCCAAAAAGAAACGTGGCTTTGGAGGACTTTTTCTTTTTGCTTCTTAGATTAGCTAGGTTTACCAAGAACCATTCAGAACCCCAGATTGGCCATAATTTGAGGGTGCAGAGGCATCAGTTTAGTCACATGTAGAGGAGCATTAATTTAGTTTTTAGTGAGAAACACTATTAGTCATTGGGAACATTTTTTCCTACATCATAAATGTTAATGTCACTAGTGAAAGAAAGCTTTCCCATCAGATGAGATCTTACATAAGAACCAGTGGGCTTAATGTTAGCTCATTTGTCATAGTTTTAATCATAGCATAGTTTTTTCATAAAACTGAAAAACATAATTTGGCTCATTCTTCTTCAAAACAGTGAACATACTATCCACCAAAGGCCTGATCTATGAGTTAATGCAAAATGATCTGTTTTTAGTGCAAAATAAATAAGTAGAAAAGTGGATCCAGTCCCAATACTGTAAATGGTCAACCAAGCATCAGTTCAAGAGAATCTTACATTTTGAAAGAATTAACCGATACCGGAATTTAAATAATATTAAATATTTATATACTGTTGATGGAAAATACAGTTCTATTTTCTACCTTTTCTAAAAGACAGTGCTTATTGTAACTATAAATTATGGTGATTTATTAATAGCATTTTAAAACAGTGTGTGATAATAATTCATACCCAGGATTCCTGCAATTACATATCTTGGTTTTCCATAGTGATAGAAATCATTGTTCATGTAGTTCTAAAACAGAATTTTAATTGTAAATTGGCTGATATGGCCTCTCTTTATGTCTGTTCTATCTGTAATTACGATTCGTAATATGTCTGTCTGTGTTTATGCCAATTTCTCCTTACAAGGAATTACAGAAAACAATTGCAGAAGCCTCTTTTTAAAAAATTTTTAAGACATGACAGTAGCTGTGATACAAGCTTATTGATGATCAAGAAATTTTTTTCCTAGGTGTTTAAAAGTAAACCTGTAGAGAAAGTAAGAGTTGTGATCTACGGGGATTTAACTTGCTTAAGGTTAATATTCATGAGGCAAAGTTTTAGTGCCAGATATTTCTCATGACCTTCCATTGACTTCCGAAGTTTAATTCACCTTAAAGGGCAATTATTTTTCTGACAGGTTTAATTTTTTAAATTTAAGGGAAAAAAACAAACCTGCACCTGGCTTTCATTTTCCTGTTCTTAATCATCTCCATACAAAATGGAAACCAGACAGAGATTCTTAAATCCATCCCTAAATTATTATATTTTTTCCCCAACAGGATTCAATTCATTTACAGCTTTCCAGTTTTCCCAGCCTGCAAGAGGATGATAAATCTAGGAAAGATGACTCTGAAAGAGAAAAAGAAAAGGATAAACACAAAGATAAAACCTCTGAAAAACCCAAGATCAGAATGTTATCAAAAGGTGACTGTGAAAATGTTTCCTTAACTTACTCAATTTGGACACACAGATAATCACAGTGATACATTCCAGGTTTTACACGCATATTCACCTCCCACCAAACTCTGCGTGTAATTTTATATGTGGACGTGTGTGTGTGTGTAAAAAGTAATGTGAACTTGATTGTTTCTTTTCTGTTCGTAGTGTCATTTTTGTGTATTGACAGAGGTTATCTTTAGGATCGCATATTTCTTTGGATATTCATTTGGAGCACCTATTTTCAATGAGAAGTTTGTACAATGGAGTAGTATAAATCTGCTCTTAATTCCAGTTTATGAGTCTAACTAACTTGAATTGATGAACAGTAATGATACCCAGTTTTATATCTTAACTTTCATGCCTACCTTAAAAGATGGGTAGTGGATTAGCAATTCTCAATCAAGAAGTGATGTTGTCCCAAAGCACGGATCAATGGAATACATGATTACTATTTTATCTGGAACAGATGGATTTGGTCTCTGCAATCTGTATGTTGCCCCATAATGCCTCATTTAAAATATACGCACTTCTACTTCAATGAAAGGTCTTCCCCTAAGTCCTTCTTTCTAAAACCCCAAACTTATAATCCAGACTTTTCGAATTGCCTTACATATAATTGTACAAAACTAAAAGAAAACAAAAGTAAAAACAAAACTAAGTTGAAATGAATTTCATGAATTAATAGCTTTGCAGTAGACTATTTTTTTTCTAAATAACAGAAAGACTAGGGCATCTGATCAGCTGAGAAATGACAAGTTCTTCTAAGGTTATGCTCTGTAACCATGTACCTGCTTATAATGATTGTCTCTGCTGCTGAATATCTAAAATCAAGGTGTATCCAAGAGTAAAGAACTACGGTTCCTAAAATGGCTTTAGAAAGTAAGCTTTTAGCCAGCATCAGAAGGTTTGAAAGACTTGGAAATATTCAGTGCCCTCCCATACTTTGTAACGATGAATATTTAGATAGTCTTGTAACAGAACTTTCAGTTTTTGCCTTCTGGGTTTTAAGAAAGAGGGTTCCATGGGATCTCAAACTCTTAAGAGCTCTCTCTGTGGGCTGGGAGTACATCTCCCTGTCATAGGAAGGTCGTGACCTTGCTGACTGACAGCACAGAATGAACATGTGGCATTTGACTCCACCCACCCACCCACCCACCCAGCCTGTGCCCACTTCCTCTCCTTTGACAGTTGGATCTTTGCACACTCGGAATCAACTAGGTGTTCTCTGTCCCTGAATCTAATTTTCATTCTGATGTAATGTTGCCAGGTTGCCAGTTTTGTAACATGTATCTTTGACACCAGTAGCTTCCCCTAAAATTTACCTGAGTGTCAGGGAAACCCTTTTCTACCCCATCTCCCCATCCTGTTTCTGACAACTCCACCCTGCTGTTTGTTTCAGATTGCAGCCAAGAATATACGGATTCCACAGGCATAGACTTACACGAGTTTCTGATTAACACATTAAAGAATAATTCCAGGTAAATTATTAAATAAACCTCTTATGTTTAGAAAAGTCAAGTAGAATATCACAGTTAAAGTCATTAATCCAAATACTTCTAAGAAGACAGTTGTAAAATGCAGGCACCTTCTCTGATGTCTTAAACTATGTTTTGTATTTTCTTTTCTGCTAATAATTTGCATGTTTACTGTTTATAGATAGTCTTAATTCCTGGGTGCTTATCCAGTGAATAAATTATCATTTACAAGTTTTGCTTTCCTGGTCACAAAGAGATACTGATGAAGAGGGAAAATAGAGAATAAGAATCAATATCAAATAAACCAGTTATGCTTCAAAGCAGTTCTAAGACCATCCACTTGGGCTTGGCTTTGTTGCAGTTTCTTACTAATTCTTACTAATTCCAAATACAAAATTTACTTGATGTGTTTTATGGAGCATGTCTTTATTAACATTAAAAGCTACAAAAGTTTCAATATTACAAAATACTTCACAAATGCGATGAGAAATAATCTTAAACAGCATGTTCCATATGAGAAGAGTTAGATACTGACTTATAGCCACACACATGTAAAGCATCTTTTCCATACACATAAATGAACTTGTTAAGTCTTTGGGAACGGAAAGTACATAAAACCTTTTCATTTTAACATTTATTTTTCAGAGACAGGATGATACTCTTGAAAATGGAGCAGGAAATTATTGATTTCATTGGTGACAACAAGTACGTTAAATTGCAATGCTGGTTAATTAATCTGATGTGTCTTGGTTTGGTATTTGGATTCAATTACTCATTCTGGAAAGACTTAGGAATAGATAAGACATTATTTAATATGTTTGCTGACTTGTTAAATAGAGGTGCTATTAGAGGTAGGAGCTATGTGCTGATGGGAGTTGTTGCTTAGACCATGTGTGCTCTTGCTTGTTAAATTCCTGATAAAATGGCTATAAACAGGGGCCCCTGATTAGCATAGAGTAGCAGTAACAAGAAGCGACCCTTTTCATTTTTATTGTAGTTTTATAATGCGCTCCAGCTGGCTGTAGTCAGTTATGTCTGGAAATCATCGAGCTGCTTTCAGTGTAAACCTTGTCATGACACATGTCCAGATAGGCATCTGCAGTCCCACATTATGGCATATCATTTGTCCTGTTCCTGGCTCCGCTGATAATGTATCCTGGACTAAAACAGAACACTTTCCAGTAGACATGAAGTTTTCAGTGATCTGAGAGATGTGCAGCTGTGAAACAAAACCACGTAACTTAATCAATACATCTATCATTGGAAAATTTGTCTGGAAATGAGGACATCGAGTGATGCCAGAAATGAAATAAGCTTGATGGTTTGGATGAAAGAGAAACGATTTTGTGCGTGTACCTATAATATGTGCTGCAAGCCAGAAAGGGAAACGCTGATTCTGCCGTTTTTTGTATTCCTTTCCAGTAATCACTATAAAAAGTTTCCGCAGATGTCTTCCTATCAGAGGATGCTTGTGCATCGAGTGGCAGCTTACTTTGGGTTGGACCACAATGTGGACCAAACAGGGAAGTCTGTTATCATCAACAAGACCAGCAACACGAGAATGTAAGCCCCTTCACTGTATTTACTTAGCATTTTCTTTTTCTCTTGTGGATTCATTTATAAGAGCACAGTATAAAATTCAAGGTACAATGGCATTTAGAATGTGCAGTGTTATTTATCTCTTGCTCTTATCAGTAGTCATGTGGCATTTATCTTTGGAGAATTATCTGAGGTTGATACAATTTAGGCAACAAAGTGTATTTATTCCCAGATCTTTTACACAGCTCCTGAAGCACAGTTCTCTTTCTTCCTCAGTGATCTGTGTGCTTACGTACAAAACATGGAACGCTTTATGTCAAATTAAAAATAACAGACATTTTAAAGGCAACAATGACATATACAGGACAATTGTCCTTTTCTTTCTTTTTCTGGTTTATAGACATCTGTCTTATTGTGGCTTCTAGAGTAACAAAAAACTGCAAACCTAGGGACAGAAGTCCTGCTTCTAAGACCCAGAGCTTGCACTCATTAGCTGTGTGACTTGCAGCAAGTCTTTTGAAATTTACTATCTCAGTTTTTCTCACCTGTAAAATGAGAGCTTTTGAGTGCATAATATCTAAGTTCTAGCTCTAAAAGGCAGATGGTTGTTTGGTTTTGCTCCTTTCAATAACTGTTTGCTTCTAGCTCAGAGTCTTTTCATGGTCCCACTGAGTCACAAAAAGTGTAAGATGAGTAATCATTTGCTTTGGAAATTTGAAACCGTGTCTCTTGACCCCCTGTAACTTTTAAGTACTATGCAAACCACTTTTATAGCACAATACACATTAAACTGAAAAACTGTCCCTATATAAAAGCATTCTCATAAAACATCTGTGTGTTATAATTTCCTTTTTACAGTGTTTGGTAAATTGTGTAAGTTGCATGGTTTTAGGAATGCGGTGGCAGTGAAGGGAACTTTTGTGTCAAGCATGGCAGCACGGTTAAAACATTCGCTGCTCATTGGATGTTGGGACTAGTAGGGATGGAGGGATGGCTCTTCCTCTACTCAAGGCTCAGTCTGTGTTCAGCAGAACGAGCGTGAAGGTCACAGTGGAGATAACTCAAGCTGGGAGATCTGGGACTGAGGTTGGCTATTATCTCAGGGACACTGAGCTCTTCACTTCTCTGGGCTTCAAATTACTTATCTATCTGCGGGAGATTTTGGAATGGATAATGTGCAAAGGCCCTTGAAGCTTCTGAATTACTGGTTCTTGTGGTTGCTTTCTACTGTGCTGACGAAATGCATCTTAAAGTTTATCAGCTTTCCACTTCATCTGATTGTTGGCCCATGTGCTCCTGTTTTGAACAGTAGTAGGAAGGAGAGGTCACTGCCCTTTAATCCTTCACGTCTTCACTCCCCATCAGTTACCCCCAGTTGCTGCTGCTGTTGCTGCTGTTGGTTTTTGCTCTCCACTCTGGTTTGTCTTCTGACTTTCAGATTCCATGATGAGGGGACACACTGATTGCAAACTAGGCAGGCAATTGACTGTGTCCTTTTAATTTCTCCTTTTTCTGTGTGAGACCGTAACGACGTGGAAAATCCCATAGATCAAGTAGATCGATACGGTTTCAACTAGTAGAGATAGTGCGTTCACTTTTAATTCACACTGGCTTTGCAATCACAGAGTCATAAGTGTCAGTACGTGTGTTTGAGACCTGTTTCCTTGTAGGACAGTTTTTGAGAAAATTAAGCATTGTATAAAGATTCTTGATAAACTGAGTGATGGCTTTAAATTTGCTCTGTTTAATATAGCGGTCACTAGTTACATGTGGTTGTTTGCATTTTAATTTAATTAAATTTAAATCCAACTTAAGCTTTAAGATTCACTTCCTTAGTCAGGCTAGCGACATTTCAAGTTCACGTATTAGAGCATGTATGGAACCTTCCATTATTTCAGATGAGCTCTTCCTGAAGTCCTTGTGATTCTTGCAGGCTCCTAACTACCACATCATTTGTCCCTTAAGCCTTTTCTTTTCTAGCTAATAAACATCATACATTATCATCTTATTAGACTTCTTCACTTTAAAAAAAGCACTAGTTTTTTGTTTGTTTCTTTGTTTGTAATGGCCAGTTTCCAACAGACCCCGCGTGCTTCTACCTTCAGGAGGAGAGAGCAGGTGCAGGGAACTCCTTCAGGTGTGGTTGCGACAGCACAGTGCCTGGACTGGTTCTGTCTCTGCCTAGTTCCTGCTCTTGCCTTTCACCCTTTAGCCCCCACCACGCAAGTCAGATTATTCCCTAAACAAAAGGCCAAATGACTGTCTGTCATGGACAATCAAGGTATTTCCCAAAGAGTTAAGCTTAACGCTTCTTAATCCACAGCCATCAAGTCCTACTGTTCCATTCCAGCCACCTTTCTGACCGTCCTCGGATTTCAGTCGCTCTTGCTGGGGGTCGGGATGGAGGTGGGGGAGGCTGATGTCTTTTAGAATAAGAGAAAAGGATGAGTTGTGTCCTTTTACAAATAGTAGCAAGTCAGATTTTCAGAACCTGAATCACTTTGGGCAGTTTTAGCAAAGGAGAAATGTTGTTCTTTGGAAAGGCGTACGTTTGATTTCTCAGTCTGTCACCACGTTCTTGCGGAGTTAAAGTTCCAAATGGAACTTCTGTTCGAGTTCTAGCTGTCTTGTGTTTCTCTGATCTCTGAAAATGTCAAGAGTTGTGCTGTCGGGGCAGTTGGTGTGTGATGATAGTGGGCACCGGATTGCGTTAGGTGTCTTATTAGGTAACAGTGTTGCCATTTATATGGAGGAGGGAAGCTGAGATGGAAGTTCCTCGGACGGCGCCTTGTGGGTTTTGTGTTTTGGGAACACCTTTTCCACGTATGCAGTTTTATGCTGCCGCAAAGCAAACATATGAAAAATACGTATTTTACATGGCACTGTAGCTCAGAGAAATGCAGGAAAATGTGGATGGTGGATGCAAAGATGAACTGAAGGGCTGGGGGAGAGAAAGTGCTTTCTTATTTAATTTTTAATTTTTATTTTTTCACTGACACTGTGTTGGCATATCAGGTGTTCCTCTGACGTGGATGCAGGTCAGCTACGTATTGGCTGGGAGTTATTTGCAGAATCCCCCTTTTTTCTAGATTACAGGCTAATTATGGAATGTGACTTGAAAATAGTGTTTTGCATGAAGAGAAAATATTTAAGTCGTGACAGCAGACATTGAGGATTACGTATACACATGTGTGTCCACTATATGTCCAGTATATTCTCTAATATTCTCAGATATACTGCATCTGTCCTCTCATGATGGAGAAAAAATTGTCTCAGGACACAATTTTCAGTGAGTAAAGTGATAGAATCTCTTATAATAGCATTACCCACTGTTTTTCATTGCACTGGCTACTTTACCTCTTATTTAATGTGTATTATTTCATTTAATTTTAAAAACATATTTATAGCCTAAGTTATTAGAGCCTCATTTTACAGATAGGAAATAAATCACAAACTCAGTTTCAATTTTGGACTCACAGAGGAGCAACGGCTTGGATCTAAACCAGTGTGTCTAATGCCAAGAACAATTTTCTTAAATAATCTTAACTCTCTTTAAAGCAAAAACATCCAGAACATCTTGAGCAGAATCCTCAAGGTTTCCTGAATTGGTTGGGAATTTCAACTCTTTTAAGTCGTTTGCTGTCTGATAAGAAACAATAAATCAGAGAAGATCTTTTTTTGAAGATTAGCTCAGTTATATCAGTCAAGAAGAGATACTTCCTACAATACAGGCATTCTCGCAAGATTTGCTGCATTTATCACTGCTACAAGGTGTGATTTGGGGGATGGGGAGATGCAGTATTTGGGAGGGGGTGATATCCCTTCAATTTAAACTCCTATATTACATTTCAATCCAGGTGGGGTTTTTTTGTTTTGTTTTACAATAATGAAAAAGCTACAGTTTTGGATAATGTCCATGCAGGAGATGAACCTATCCATTGTGTTGTTACAGAATTACTGCTACAATTACAATTGAATTGTCCAAATCCATCTTTTCATGTCATAGCCACAAGAGCATGGGGTTAAGGATGTAGCAGTGCAGAAGAGTAGGAAATAATGATTGCATTCACATGGGATACACTCATCCACGTGAACTGATGCTGTTTAGAGAATTAGCAGAGGAAAGTTCCTTAACCTTCCCACCACTGTATCCTTGTTTCTCAGAGCCAGCCGGGGGCAGAACCTGGGAGCGTATGTGACCTGCAGCCACTCAGCACACCTTTGGTCCACAAATTGGGTTCTTTTTTTTTTTTCGTAGAGGGGAGGGATATTAGATTTCTTAATTTATTTTAATGGCGGTCCTAGGGACTGAACCCAGGACCTCATGCATGCTCAGCAAGTGCTCTACCCCTGAGCTACACCCTGCCCCCTGCAAATTGAGTCTTCATGGTTGGGGATGCCTCTCCTTAGAACTTACTGCCTTTTTTGTTGTTGAAATAATGAATAGGGGTTTTGAGCTGAGGTTAACCATCTTGTGTTGTTTCAGTGTTTTGGGGCTCTCTCTGCCATGTTTATTGCCCGAAATGTCTTTCACTCTCTAGCACTTGTAAATTTTTTCTATGGGAACTCTTTGTTAACTGTCAAATTTAGGAGGCAACACCAAAGGAACCCCTTGGAAATCTTGGGCAGAGGTATTAGGGTCTGTGCAGTTTGGTACTATAAGAGATATTTATAATGTAGTTAGGCTCTATATTGTTACTTTTTGATATTTAGAATTGAAGCTAAAAGACACTGATGTTTAAAAACATAATGCAATGCTACAAATATATGGGTCTCTTTTTATATGAGAAGTTTTGTCCTTCTCTTTCTCTTTCTGATCTTCACCTTCTCGCTTTTCCTTATTTGTCTGTGTGTTTAGCCCAAAGCAGCTCATTGTTCTTTCATCAGGTAATTTTTACACCTCCTCTCCTTTTCTCCCTCCTGGAGATACATGGTACATGCTCATGGTATATCATTTTGGGACTAGAAACCATCTATTTGCACTAGTGTTTTCCAAAGGGCCATGATCAGTCACAGGCAGAGAG